GACCAGAGGGCAATGCCAAAATGCAACCAATACAAGGACAATGCACACAAGTAAGGTCACTGTGGAAATGTATACACAAATACCCCGTAGACTCACTACACAGAGATTCATAGACTCACCACAGAGACCAATAGACTCACCAGAGACTCAGACTCACCACGCAGATACTAATAGACTCATTACACATAGACCCATAGGCTCACTGCACAGAGACCCATAGACTCACTACAGAGACCCATAGACTCACCACACAGAGACCCATAGACTCACTACAGAGACCCATAGACTCACCACACAGAGACCCAGACTCATCACAGAGAGAACCATAGACTCACCACACAGAGACCCATAGACTCAACACACCAAGACCCGTAGACTCAACACACCAAGACCCGTAGACTCATCACACAGAGACACATAGACTCACCACACAGACCCGTAGACTCACCACACAGAGACTCAGACTCACCACAAAAGAACCATAGCCTCACCTCCACTACACAGAGACCCATAAACTCACTTCACAGAGACCCACAGACTGATCACACAGAAAACCATAGACTTACAGAGACCCATAGATTCACCACACAAGCCACCCAGACTCACCACAAAGATCCACAGACGCATCACACAGATCCAGACTCACCACAGACAGACCCACAACCTCACCACAGAGACCCATAGACTCCCTCACACAAAGACCCATGCTCACCCACTGAAACCCATAGACTCACCCACAGACCCACAGACCCACAACACAGACTAACATACCACAATGAGACCCACAGACTCAACAAACAGAGACCCTCAGACTCACCAGACTTACAGAGACACACAGAAACACCCATAGACTCACCACACAAGACAGCCAGACTCGCCAAACACAGCGACCCACAGACTCACCACAGAAAGACCCACAGACACATCACAGACCCATAGGCTAATCGCAATGAGACCAACAGGTTTGCCACACACAGAGACCCAGAGCCTCACTACACAGACCCATAGACTCACCAAACAAAGACCCATAGACTCACCACAGAGACCTATACTCACCACATAGAGACCCATAGACTCACTACACAGAGACCCGTAGACTCACCACACAGACTCGTATACTCACCACCACTACACAGAGACCCATAGACTCATCACCACTACACAGAAACCCATAAACTCCCTACACAGAGACCCATAGACTTACCACACAGAGACCCGTAGATTCACTACACAGTGACCCATAGACTCATCACACAGACACCCATAGACTCAACACACAAAAACCCACAGAGGCATCAACAGGTCCACAGACGCATCACAAACACCCACAGAAGCATCACAAACACCCACAGACACATCACACAGGCGTACAGACGCATCGCACTGAGAACCACAGACTCACCACAGAGACCCAAACACTCACCAGACAGACTCGACTAATCAGACAGACCCGTAGACTCGCCACACAAAGACCCACAGACGCATCACAGACCCACAGGGTCTCCACACAGTGACCAATAGACCCATCATGCAGAGACCCATAGACTCACAACACAGAGACCCATACTCACCACACAGAGACTCATAAACTCACCACACAAAGACCCAGGCTCATCACAGAGACCCGTAGACTCATCACAGGGAGCCAGACTCACACTCTCACCCTCACACACAGACACCCTCAAACACTGTCAGACTCTCACAGCCACTCACTCACACACTTAATCCATCATTTCCACTGTGTCCCTAATCCCTGATGCCTGGGGGGTCATGGAGCTTAGATGGCGGAATCCTAATCCTGCACCTGGAAAGAGAGATGGAGAGATCTGTGTGCATGTCTTTGTCTTTCGTGTCTATCTGTGTGTGGGTGGCAGGATTGGAAGAATTCTCTGATGGTCCCCCTCTTCAAGAACGGGGAACCGCACAAACTGTGGCAGCTACAGGGGCATTTCCGTACTCAGTGTGAGGTCAGGAAATATCCTGGCAAGGATTATTCAACATCGCCTTGCCAGGCACGCTGACGAGAGGCTTGCAGAGGCCCCAATGTGGTTTCGGAAAAGGGCGGTCCTGCACAGATTCCATTTTTTTTTGTCCGTCTGCTACAGCAGAGATGTCGGGAATTCAAACAGGATCTACATCTCTGCTTTATTGATCTAGTCAAGGCACTATAATACCATCAGTAGGCCTGGGCACTGGGTTGTTCTTCGTGCTTTTTGAGTCTCTGTCTCTCTGCTCACATTCATTAAGGACCTTCATTCCCTGTTCACCTTGGAGTGCGACAAGGATGTCCTCTGGCTCCCACGTTATTTAACATCTATTTTGACCACGTAGTTCATCAAGCCTTCCATGGCTGTACCGGAGGAATTTTCATCTGGTACAGATACAATGGGAGGCTGATCGATGCCTGGGTGCGGTCGGGGGATGGCTCACGATTGGTCAACCACGTTATGTATGCCGACGACCTGGTAATTGCTGCTCACTCAGAGAAGGATTTGGAGGCGCTGCTGCTGAACCTGCAGCGTGCCACTAAGAGGTGGGGCCTTACCATCAGCCCCACCAAAAGTAAGCACCTGCCTGGGTATTTTGTACCATCGGACACTCCACCCCCACAACTCCCAATCGGTGATGGGGCAGTTGTGGAGAGAGTGAAGAGTTTCCCATACCTGGGCAGTGTGGTTATGACCGGCTCCAGTTTAACAGCAGAGGTCTCACTCCGAATCAGTCGAGCGGTATTGTCTTTTCATCGGCTGCGTAACGCTGTGTGGAAGCTACCTGGTCTGTCGCTCCGCACGAAGCTTCAGGTCTTCTCGGGCACAGTCATTCCTTCCCTTCTCTATGCTTGCGAAACGTGAACCCCCCTAATGGAACATCTTCGCTGGTTACAAACATTCAGGCTGGCCTGCCTACGATCCATCCTGGGTTTAACCAGGCTGGATTGTGTGAGCTCACAAATCCTTGAAAGCGTTCCACTCAAGCCAACACCAGTGACGATTATCTGAACTGGTCCTGGGCCTCCCCTAGGTCAACTCAGCCTTAAATGAGTACCTGGAGCTGTGTGTAAACATCGCCACTAAGCGAGACAAAGGCGGCCGGGCGTGGTGTTGGCCACCCACCCCCAAGCTGCTAGTGAGCACCTTCATAGGTGCTCACTAGCAGCTTGCCGCTACAGTCTGTTAAGGCTACACGGGGGATCTTTGCCTTGTGTGTGTGTATCTCTGCGTGTGTGGGGAGCGGTGGTGCAGTGATTATCACACTGTGTGTGTGTGGAGTGGTGGTGCAGTGATTATCGCACTGTGTGTGTGGGGGCGGTTGTGCAGTGATTATCGCACTGTGTGTGGGGAGCAGTGGTGCAGTGATTATCGCAATGTGTGTGTGTGGGGAGCGGTGATGCAGTGGTTAGCGCACAGTGTGTGTGGGGAGCGGTGTTGCAGTGATTATCGCACTGTGTGTGTGTGTGGGGAGCGGTGTTGCAGTGATTATCGCAGTGTGTGTGGGGAGCGGTGGTGCAGTGATTATCGCACTGTGTGTGTGTGGGGAGCGGTGTTGCAGTGATTATCGCAGTGTGTGTGGGGAGCGGTGGTGCAGTGATTATCGCACTGTGTGTGTGAGTGGGGAGCGGTGGTGCAGTGATTATCGCACTGTGTTTGTGTGTGGGGAGCGGTGGTGCAGTGATCATCACACTGTGTGTGAGTGGGGAGCGGTGGTGCAGTGATTATCGCACTGTGTGTGTGTGAGTGTGTATTTGTCTGTGGTCTATGTGGGGAGAGGTGGTGTAGCGGTAAGCGCGCTGCGCTACGAACCTGGGGACCCGGGCCCCCTCTGTGTGTGCCACAGTGCCGGTAGCCTTCATAGGCGCTGCTGCTACTCACAGCACTTGCCCCTACAGCCTGCTGGAGGCTACACGGGGGATCTTTGGTCTTTGAATTCATAGATATCGATACATATTTATATCGATGCATACGTATTGCTGATACATATTGATGCATACTGACATGCAATAGTGATAGATATATCGATGAAGTGTGGTAGATTAACAATGATATATTAATATATAACGTCATGTATTTAACGGTGATATCTTGACAGCGATGCATTCATACATCTCAATATATAACGTGATATTTTAGAACTATATTACCAGTGATATATAGATACCTATGGCGACATTGATACATTGTGATATATTAATATATAGTGTGATATGAAACAGTGAGGTATTAAGGGATACATTGTTAAATATATTGCATGCATTCATATATTGATAAATTATAGCGACGATATAGTAAGCGCTTATCGAAATACAATGCTATGTTAAAATGTAACGTTAAAACTAACGCGTGATATATTATTAACGTATTATTATTATATTGAATACAGTAATGGTGATGGATTATTTTAAATCAATGGTAAATACAAATATTAATTCGCATCTTGCGATAAGATTTAAATCGCGACACATTAACACAACGCATTTCATATGCAACGTGATCTTTAACGGTGATGTTATTCATTATTTTGTTCTGAATTGGCAGATAAATTTATCTTGATGTCGATACGCGTATCAAGTGATTTTAATGCGCATTTTAAAATCGCAATTAAATTCGGGCTTTGCGGATCTCATTATTAACGCCGCAACAAAGGTGGCATTTGCCCCGTCGAACCGAATGCACGGCTAACCATTCGCAATGATTAATCGCATTCATCACAATTATCGATTACTACAATGACAATAGCATTGTTAATATTTTGCTCACACATTTTCATTTTATTGTTCATTGCAACGTAGGCGGCGGCGGCGGAGGAAGCGGACGAAAAAATATTCAAAAGAAAGGGGAGACGAATACGGCTTCGAATGCACGCATCTCGAAGCTATCCCGTGATAAGCGAATTAAGTCACAACGTCGCAACCCCCCGCTAACGATTCCATGACAAGAAGCCCTAATAGCAAACGGGGCGGCCATCATGGATCTAACGGAGCCTCCCCTTCAGCCTCCTCGTACCGTGAGGAGGATTCCCAGCACGGCGCTCGCCAGCCGCCCCATCTGCGCCGCCATCGGATGCGTCGTGACACCCCGTCGACGGTGTCTGCCGGGTGGGGCCGGTGGCGATGCGGGCGCTCCTGCCAGGAGGATGGCGACGGATTGTGGAAGATTCTCGCTACTGCTGCTGCTGCCGCCTCACAGCCTCCTCCTGCTGCTGCGCTGTGCGGCAATGGAGGGAGCCGCCGCCTCTCTCCCCCCCCCGGGGGGCAGCTCTGTCGCAGCGTGACGTCACCGACGGCCCAGGGACGCCTTCCTCATTGGTCGACGGCTTCCTTCCGGAAGATTTTGGTGTTTTTTTTATTTGGCGCGGGGGGGGGGCGGCCCCCCTCCCACCATGGAAACACAATGGGTGACGTCATTCTTCCGGAAGATGGAAGGGTATTTTTGGAAGCTATTAAATTATTCTGGAAGAGAGGAAGAGTCTTCCCATCTTCCCAATCTTCCGGAAGACTCTTATATTCCGTAAGATGGAATATATGAGGAAGGCGTCCCTGGAAAGATGTACAGGATCTTCCGAAAGATAGGAAGATCGGAAAACTCTTCCCATATACTTATTTTCCGGAAGACCCTGTCCATCTTCCGGGAAGACTCTTCCTATCTTCTTATCTTCCGTAAGATGGGAAGATCTTCCGGAAGATAGGAAGAGAGGTAGAGTCTTCCCATCTACCCCGCCACCTCACCACCCCGATATGAAAACAATGGGTGACATCATTATTCCGGAAGATGGATAGATAGAAAGTCTCTGGGTAGTGTGGCTATGAGATGTTAACTCCATCTCCTGGCCTACAGGAGGTCCTGGGTTCGATTCCTGCTATGTGGAGTCTATGGGCAGTGTGGCTAGGAGATGTTAAATACCTCTCTTGGTGTACAGGAGGTCGTGGTACAATCCCTGCTATGTGGAGTTTATGGGCAGTGTGGCTAGGATATGTTAACTACCTCTCCTGGTGTACAGGAGGTACTGGGTTCGATCCCTTCTACGTGGAGTCTATGGGCAGTGTGGCTATGAGATGTTAACTCCCTCGCCTGGTGTACAGGAGGTCGTGGGTACAACCCTGCTATGTGGAGTCTATGGGCAGTGTGGCTACGAGATGTTAACTACCTCTCCTGGTATACAGGAGATCCTGGGTTCGATCCCTTCTATTTGGAGTCTATGGGCAGTGTGGCTATGAGATGTTAACTCCCTCGCCTGGTGTACAGGAGGTCGTGGGCACTATCCCTGCTATGTGGAGTTTATGAGCAGTGTGGCTAGGAGATGTTAACTACCTCTCCTGCTGTACAGGAGGTACTGGGTTCGATCCCTGCTACGTGGAGTCTATGGGCAGTGTGTCTAGGATATGTTAACTACCTCTCCTGGTGTACAGGAGGTCCTGGGATCGATCCCTGTTACTTGGAGTCTATGGGCAGTGTGGCTAGGAGATGTTTACTCCCTCTCCTGGTGTTCAGGAGAACCTGGGTTCGATCCTTTCTATGTGGAGTCTATGGGCAGTGTGGCTAGGAGATGTTAACTACCTCTCCTGGTGTACAGGAGGTCCTGGGTTCGATCCCTGCTACGTGGAGTCTATGGGCAGTGTGGCTAAGATACGTTAACTACCTCTCCTGCTGTACAGGAGGCCTGGGTTCGATCCCTGTTACGTGGAGTCTATCGGCAGTGTGGCTAGGAGATGTTAACTACCTCTGCTGGTGTACAGGAGGTCCTGGGTTCGATGCCTGCAATGTGGAGTCTATGGGCAGTGTAGGTATGTGATGTTAACTACCTCGTCTGATATACAGGAGATCCTGGGTTCGATCCCTGATATGTAGAGTATATGAGCAGTGTGGCTATGAGATGTTAACTACCTCTCCTAATATACAGGAGAGCCTGGGTTCGATCCCTTCTATGTGGAGTCTATGGGCAGTGTGGCTATGAGATGTTAACTCCCTCGTCTGGTGTACAGGAGGTCGTGGGTACAATCCCTGCTATGTGGAGTTTATGGGCAGTGTGGCTAGGAGATGTTAACTACCTCTTCTGCTGTACAGGAGGTACTGGGTTGGATCCGTGCGACGTGGAGTCTATGGGCAGTGTGGCTAGGATGTGTTAACTACCTCTCCCGGTGTAAATGAGGTCCTGGGTTCGATCCCATCTATGTGGAGTCTATGGGCAGTGTGGCTATGAGATGTTAACTCCCTCGCCTGGTGTACAGGAGGTCGTGGGTACAACCCCTGCTATGTGGAGTCTATGGGCAGTGTGGCTACGAGATGTTAACTACCTCTCCTGGTATACAGGAGATCCTGGGTTCGATCCCTTCTATGTGGAGTCTATGGGCAGTGTGGCTATGAGATGTTAACTCCTTCGCCTGGTGTACAGGAGGTCGTGGGTACAATCCCTGTTATGTGGAGTCTATGGGCAGTGTGGCTACGAGATGTTAACTACCTCTAATGCTGTACAGGAGGTACTAGGTTCGACCCCTGCTACGTGGAGTCTATGGGCAGTGTGGCTAGGATATGTTAACTACCTCTCCTGCTGTACAGGAGGTCCTGTGTTCGATCTCTGCTACGTGGAGTCTATGGGCAGTGTGGCTAAGATACGTTAACTACCTCTCCTGCTGTACAGGAGGTCCTGGGTTCGATCCCTGTTACTTGGAGTCTATGGGCAGTGTGGCTAGGAGATGTTTACTCCCTCTCCTCGTGTTCAGGAGAACCTGGGTTCGATCCTTTCTATGTGGAGTCTATGGGTAGTGTGGCAAGGAGATGTCAACTACCTCTCCTGGTGTACAGGAGGTACTGGGTTCGATCCCTGCTACGTGGAGTCTATGCGCAGTGTGGCTAAGATACGTTAACTACCTCTCCTGCTGTATAGGAGTTCCTGGGTTCGATCCCTGTTACGTGGAGTCTTTCGGCAGTGTGGCTAGGAGATGTTAACTACCTCTGCTGGTGTACAGGAGGTCCTGGGTTCGATGCCTGCAATGTGGAGTCTATGGGCAGTGTAGGTATGTGATGTTAACTACCTCTCCTGATATACAGGAGATCCTGGGTCCGATCGCTGCTATGTAGAGTATATGGGCAGTGTAGGTATGTGATGTTAACTACCTCTCCTGATTTACAGGAGATCCTGGGTTCGATCCCTTCTATGTGGAGTATATTGGCAGAGTGGCTATGATATGTTAACTCCTTCTGCTGGTGTACAGCAGATCCTGCGTTCGATCCTTTCTATGTGGAGTCTATGGGCAGTGTGGCTAGGAGATATTATCTATATTTCCTTGTATAGAGGAGGTCCTGGGTTCGATCCCTGCTACATGGAGTCTATGGGCAGTGAGGCTATGGGATGTTTACTCCCTCTGCTGGTGTACAGGAGATCCTGGGTTTGATCCCTGCTACGTGGAGTCTATGGGCAGTGTGGGTAGGAGATGTTAACTATCTCTGCTGGTATAGAGGAGGTCCGGGGTTCGATCCTTGCTACGTGGAGTCTATGGGCAGTGTGGCTATGAGATGTTAACTCCCTCGCCTGGTGGACAGGAGGTCATGGGTTCGATCCCTTCTGTGTGGCGTCTTTGGGCAGTGTGGCTTTGAGATGTTAACTACCTCTCCTGGTATACAGGAGATCCTGGGATACAGGAGATCCTGGGTTCGATCCCTTCTATGTGGAGTTTATGGGCAGTGTGGCTATGAGATGTTAACTCTCTCTCTCCTTGTGTACAGGGTGTCGTGGATACCATCACTGCTTCGTGGAGTCTATAGGCAGTGTTTCTAGGAGATGTTAACTACCTCGCCTGGTGTACAGGAGGTCCTGGGTTCGATTCCTGCTATGTAGAGTATATGGACAGTGTGGCTATGAGATGTTTACTCCCTCTCTTGGCATACAGGAGGTCCTGGGTTCGATTACTGCTATGTGGAGTCTATGGGCAGTGTGGCTAGGAGATGGCAACTCCCTCTCCTTGTGTACAGGAGGTCCTGGTTTCGATTCCTGCTATGTGGAGTCTATGGGCAGTGTGGCTAGGAGATGGTAACTCCCTCTCCTTGTGTACATGAGGTCCTGGGTTCGATTCCTGCTATGTGGAGTCTTTGGGCAGTGTGGCTAGGAGATGTTAAATACCTCTCCTGGTATACAGGAGATCTTGGGTTCGATCCCTTCTATGTGGAGTCTATGGGCAGTGTGGCTATGAGATGTTAACTACCTCTCCTGGTATACAGGAGATACTGGGTTCGATCCCTTCTATGTGGAGTCTATGGGCAGTGTGGCTATGAGATGTTAACTCCCTCGCCTGGTGTACAGGAGGTCGTGGGTACAATCCCTGCTATGTGGAGTTTATGGGCAGTGGGGCTAGGAGATGTTAACTACATCTCCTGCTGTACTGGAGGTACTAGGTTGGATCCGTGCGACGTGGAGTCTATGGGCAGTGTGGCTAGGATATGTTAACTACCTCTCCTGGTGTACAGGAGGTCCTGGGTTCGATCCCTTCTATGTGGAGTCTATGGGCAGTGTGGCTATGAGATGTTAACTCCCTCGCCTGGTGTACAGGAGGTCGTGGGTACAACTCCTGCTACGTGGAGTCTAAGGGCAGTGTGGCTACGAGATGTTAACTACCTCTCCAGGTAAACAGGAGATCCTGGGTTCGATCCCTTCTATGTGGAGTCTATGGGCAGTGTGGCTATGAGATGTTAACTCCCTCGCCTGGTGTACAGGAGGTCGTGGGTACAATCCCTGCTATGTGGAGTTTATGGGCAGTGTGGCTAGGAGATGTTAACTACCTCTGCTGCTGTACAGGAGGTGCTGGGTTCGATCCCTGCTACGTGGAGTCTATGGGCAGTGTGGCTAAGATACGTTAACTACCTCTCCTGCTGTACAGGAGGTCCTGGGTTCGATTCCTGCTACGTGGAGTCTATGGGCAGTGTGGCTAAGATACTTTAACTACCTCTCCTGTTGTACAGGAGGTCCTGGGTTCGATCCCTGTTACTTGGAGTCTATGGGCAGTGTGGCTAGGAGATGTTAACTACCTCTCCTAGTGTACAGGAGGTCCTGGGTTCGATCCCTGCTACGTGGAGTCTATGGGCAGTGTGGCTAAGATACGTTAACTACCTCTCCTGCTGTACAGGAGGTCCTGGGTTCGATCCCTGTTACATGGAGTATATCGGCAGTGTGGCTAGGAGATGTTAACTACCTCTGCTGGTGTACAGGAGGTCCTGGGTTCGATGCCTGCAATGTGGAGTCTATGGCCAGTGTAAGTATGTGATGTTAACTACCTCTCCTGATATACAAGAGATCCTGG